CATACCAATAGTTCATTCCTTTCCATGGATAAATAGCATTCTGTATTATGGATATGCCATGCTTTGTTTGATCATCTACCTCTTGAAGGACATCTGGGTTGCTTCTAACGTTTGGCAATTGTGAATAAAGCTGTTGTGAATAATTGTTCATAGGTTTTTATGATAATGTAAGTTTTCATTTCTCTGGAATATATTCTGACACATCTTTCTGCTTCAGTCTGCCCCAAAGCTTCCTCATGGACTTACTATGATATTCAAAAAGAAGTTTGCAAATATTAACAAAATATCTTACCATTGTACCTTAACACTGTTTGTTTGTTTGTTTGTTTTTGGAGACAGAGTCTTGCTCTGCTGCCCAGGCTAGAGTGCAGTGGCGCCATCTTGGCTCCCTGCAGTCTGCCTCCTGGGTTCAGGCAATTCTCCTGCCTCAGCCTCCCCAGTAGTGGGGATTACAAGTGTGCGCCACCATGCCCAGCTAATTTCTGTATTTTTAGTAGAGACAGGGTTTCACCATTTGGCCAGAATGGTCTCGAACTCCTGACCTCAGGTGATCCGCCCACCTCGGCCTCCCAAAGTGCTGGAATTACAGGTGTGAGCCACCATGCCCAGCCTGTTAGCACTAACTTCTGTCTAAGTTACTCCCTCCCATTTCCTTTTGTATATTCCTGCTTGCAAATGATTTGTATCCTTATATCAAGGTCGTATGTGATACTGACTTACTTAATTGGCATCTCCCTTTTGTTTTACAAGTGATGGCCAAAAAATGAGTAAACGGAAAAAGAATTATCCAGATCCAGTTTCCATCATCCAGAAGTATGGTGCTGATGCCCTCAGGTACAAACCAGTGCTTTGCCTTGTGTGTATCTGTTGTTTTTTTATGTAAGCATCTCCTATACTGTTGGTCATTATTCTTAGATTTGGTTTATAGTTAGGTTTTTAGCAACATATCTCTGTTATTTGGATGTCGTGTTGGTATGGTTGTTGATTTTAAACCCCCAAAATAGTTTTCTAAATAATAAAGGCATTTTTAAACTATAGGTCTATTTGAGGAAGAGAACCTGTGTTGGGTGTTGTTGAGTTGTCCAAGTCCTCCCCAGGCTAGATGCTGATTGCCTCTGCCTTACTTTCTTTCTAGGTTCCCTGTCTTGTGGATGTTAGAATTCTCTTTCATCATTTATTTTACTTTTGTGCTTACAGAGCCATATGAGATATATCTATGCTAGAGGTAATAAAAAACTAATATTAAAAAGCTTTTGGAGAAATTAGAGCCACTGCTTGAGGTAGCTATAATCATGAAATCACACAGTGTTCAAGTTGAAAGGGACCTAGAGATCTTGTTCAGCATCCCTATGTCCTAGGCATGAGACCAATGCCCAGGCCTATGACTCAGCACTTTCACACAGTACCTGTGTTGCCCAGGAGCCATTAGTGGAGCTCACCCCCAACTCTCCACTGTCTCTTAGACTCACCCTTGGCACTGCTGGCCATTTGAGCTGGGTAATTCTTTGTGGTGGTAATTCTTTGTAGGATGTTTAGCAGTATCCCTAAGCTCTGGCCACTAGATGTCAAGACTGTGCTGTGTGAAGGCACCTCCTTGTGAGTCCCTCTCTCTGCAAGCAGCAGATGTGCAGGTCGTGTCCATGGGAGGGAATCAGTGGCTTTTGACAAGGACCAGGCCAGCCTTCCTCTTAGTGCTGGTGTACCCCATTGGTCCTGCAGTGAGAGTGGCATAAGATGCATTTGTGTGCTATACAGTGCCATATTTTGGTGTCAGATTATATATACCTTTTATAATTTGGTAGGTCTCTTACAGAAAGTGAGAGTGAGTTTTGTGAGTTTTAAATTGACCACTCAAAGAGTATTTATAGTTTCCCCCTTTTGTAGAAAATAGGACTGATTTTCATCTTGCTGTCTCAATATGTCAAGTAGTAATAATTGGTTTACTGTCTAAGTACCTTTTCTAATTTTTCTCCCTCTTCCAGATTGTATCTGATTAACTCCCCTGTGGTGAGAGCAGAAAACCTCCGCTTTAAAGAGGAGGGTGTGCGGGATGTCCTTAAGGATGTGCTGCTCCCATGGTACAATGCCTATCGCTTCTTAATCCAGAACGTTCTGAGGCTTCAGAAGGTATGGGCTGTACAGGGCTGCACGTATACCTGCCGAGTCTCCATACCGCTCCCTTCACCAAACTGTGAGAGACTTCAGGGCTGCTGTTCTCTGCTGCCTGATGCTGGGGTAACTTACAGCCATGGGGAGGTCATACATGCAGGTGCGAAAGGGATCTAGGGTCCGGGCTATGCCGAGACCTTGGGCCCTAGCCTGCAAAAGAGTTATGTCATATAGTTGTTTAGTCGACCAGTTTTTTAAGGCGGAGTCTCAGTCTTGTCACCCAGACTGGATTGCAGTAGCACGATCTCGGCTCACTGCAACCTCTGCCTCCTGGGTTCGGGCACTGCCTCAGGCTCCCCAGTAGCTGAGATTACAGGCACCCACCAGCATGCCTGGCTAATTTTTTGTATTTTTAGTGGAGACTTGGTTTCGTCATGTTGGCCAGACTGGTCTCGAACTCCAGATCTCAGGTGATCCACCCTTCTTGGCCTCCCAAAAAGGCTGGGATTACAGGCATGAGCCACTGCGCCAAGCCTAGTCAGCCGGTTCTTGATTCCGAAAACACCATGTTGAGTGAGACACCCCTCCCTTTATGGAACCAGTGGAGTGGGAATTGGGAGAGATAGTAAAGAGTCAGCTACTTTTAGAGAGACCACCCAGTGAAGGCGGAGTCACAGGCTAGCTAGGGCTGGCCACTTGAGATAGTTGGTCAGAGAAGCCCCCTCAGTGGGGTGGCATTTGGGCTAATCTGAGAGTGATAGCAGTTCTTGATGGAGTTTTCAGTGGGTTGTTAGGGTCACAAATAACAGTCGTGAGATATGTGGAAGTGTACTTCAAGGGCAGTCACCTCCACGCGCGGGATTACTTTCTCACCTCAGAAGCCCTTGCTCTAGAGCCACCTTCCATGCCCCACAACTGACCACTGTCAGGGGCCATCATCACCTTCATTGCACATGTTCCTGTGTGGGCTTTCAAGACCTGATTTGGGGTCAGGGATCCGATACTGCACATCTGATCTCCAGCACCTTACAAGTAAAATTGCTTGTAAGTAAATAACTGTTGAATGAAAGTGAGATGTTATTCCTGGTTGAGCAGTTCAAAAAGCTGGTTGGAAAAATGAACTCTTGTTATCCCACTCCAGCAGGCAGGTCACTTCCTTCTCCTCTCCTTGGTCTCCGGTTGTTCTGCTAAAGAGGACACATCTTGTTCGCCTGAGGCTCTCAGAGTAACGTTTCCCCAGGAACTGAGAAGGGCAGTCATCTTCCCCAGGATCCCAGCTTTCCTCCTCTCTGCAGCCCTGCCACCTTTCCTGCATGTGGTTCTCTGCCAAGTAGGGCCCACAGTCCTTGGGCAGGTGCACTCTGCAGGCCTCCACTGGTGTGGGACTCAGGAATACAGGCGGGGTCAAAGCTCCCTACAGCCAGGGCCCATCTGAACATACCAGCAAGACACAGACTCCATGATCAGGGGCTTAAACCCAGAGGAAGAGTCACATTATCACTGCCCTGCCAGCCTGGTTGTGGTGCTGCCAGAGAAACAAAGCAGGACGTGAGTTCTGTTTGTGGAGCAAGGACTTAAGATCAAGGAGGATTTTGCAAAGAAAAAGGAGTGGGATAGAACTTTCTGGGTAAAATGAACAGCCTTAGCATGGAAATTGTTTTCCAGTACTCATTTTCAGTTTGTGGACAATCATTCAATGCTAGACAGGTTTACTGTCCTTCCTTCCTGAGGTTTAAAGTAATAACCCTACATTTTCTGACAAGATTTTAGAATATCTCTCAATTCATAATTACTCTTTGGTGCAGAGAAGTAATGTTTTCCTAAACTGTCTTCAGTTTACTCAAAAACATGATTAATTAATTGAGGGGTTAATGTCCCACGTTAGTGCTTATCTTGAAAATATTGCTAAAAATCAGAAATTCACATTGCCAGTGGGGTCTGGGATTTTTTTCTTTTTGTTTAAGTGATTTAAGAAGTTTATTTCCTCATAGTAACTTTCTTCCCAAGTGTGCAAGTGTTTCATTAATTGTTCATTCCTAGGAGGAAGAAATAGAATTTCTCTACAATGAGAACACTGTTAGGGAAAGCCCCAACATTACAGACCGGTGGATCCTGTCCTTCATGCAGTCTCTCATTGGCTTCTTTGAAACTGAAATGGCAGGTGAGTCTCTCTTGGTCTGTCCTCCCAGGAATAAGGACTCTTCTCTGTGTAACTGCCCTTTTGATATTTAGTAGTGGAAATATTGAGAGATACAGAAAATTAACTGTTTCCTTTTACCTCTCATATAGTTTTGTTAAGGCTTGTTAATTGTCGTGATGCCTTTGTTTCAAGACCCTGCGGACTTCTGGCCTGGTGTGGTGGCTCACGCCTGTAATCCCCAGCACTATGGGAGGCCAAGGCAGGCAGGTCACCTGAGGTCAGGAACTTGAGACCAGCCTGGCCAACATGGCGAAACCCCGTGTCTACTAAAAATATATTTAAAAAAAAAAAAAAAGTTAGCTGGCCATGGAGGCAGGTGCCTGTAATCCCAGCTACTCAGGAGGCTGAGGCAGGAGAATTGCTTGAACCATGTGGGAGGCGGAGGCTGCAGTGAGTCGAGATTGCACCACTGCCTGGGCAACAAGAGTGAAACTCCATCTTTAAAAAAAAAAAAAAAAGCCC